CCTAGGAACCCAGCCCGGGTGCTCACCGTGAGATCCCCGGGCGCCTTGTATCTGCCTCCTCCTCTGAGATCGCGCCTTGGCCCCTGAGGCCCAGGCAAAACAACGCTCTTGAAGTCGGGAGCTCGGGTTGGAGCCCGAGCCCTGCCGCCTCCTAGTGTGTGACCCTGGTCCCCCGCCCTCTCCTTATCTGCTCCAGCATCACGTTAAGTTTCAGGAATTCTTACTTGCCTGTTCCCGACTTTTCAACGGTCTTCTCCCAGGACTGCATTTTGATGCACTTTGCAATGCTTTCTGCTTCCCGCTACAGTCTGGGGTGTGGTGTCCTCATCTCCATAACTGACGCCTTCTTAGCTCATCACACCAACCGTTGACTTCTGGACATTGGACGATGCTTTTAGTTTCTAAAGTGATCTCTTGAGAGTCTGGATCCTGAATTTTCCAGACAGTCTGGACATCTGTGGGAGATTCTATACCGCACTGTTGTTGCTAAAATTATAAGCTGATGTTTTGAATTTTATTGTCCAAAGTTGCCTAAATAGTGGTCTAAAGTTACTGTAAAGAAAAACTCGAAATAATTGCATGTCATATTTCTTTGCGATTTTCAAAATTCCACTGATCTTATATATAGTGTGGATTTTTTTTACTTACTATTATTTTCTGCTTCTCAAATTTAAACCAAATCTCCCCATCACTCACTTTGTTTTCTAAGTTCTATTAGATATATAAATATATATTGGACATATTTGTATACATATGCACCTATATATACACACACATATATTCTAATCAAGGAATCAGATGTTATTTAACCGGCCAAACTTGGATTAGGAAATTGAAAGAAGTTTAGTAGAATCTATCATGATTAAAATTCTGACAATGGAGTTGGGGGTGGGGGTAGGGGGGTAGGGAGGGGATAGAATGGCCTAGAAGCTATACCAGAAAACTGAAGAATCCAGGTAATGAAACCATTCGCTTTTTTCTTTGATGAGCTCAAACATCTCAGATACAACTAATTGAAGTAGTTTTTGGAGATGAGTTTGGAGTGTGAGGTCTTTGTGTTCACTCTGGGAAAGATTCACCAGAGTGCCCCTTTCAGTGGCACATGGCTAATTTCCCAGGAGAGTTTCTCTAGGAGACAGAGACATTAGCTATAGTTAAGAGCAGGAGGGTTAGGTGAAAGGAACAGAAGAATACCGGACACTTGTGTAGACACCTGTGAGCAGAAAGAGCTGCCCGAAAGGGGCAGGTTTGCAGAGAGGCCTGCATGGTCACACTTGGGAGGCCCTGAGGAGAGCAGCCTCTGCTGAGGGAGGTCAGTGTAGAGAAACCCCAGCGGGTACAGGTGTCAGGCAGGCAGGGGGCTGCTGGCTTGCGGAGGGAGAGGACTGGTGGAGAGGACCACTGCTTAGTCACAGGTGGGCAGGACTGCTGCCCCGTGCCCCTGTGCCAGAGCAGAGACTACACCGCTATAGTCCTTTTCTCTTTGGAAGGGGCTTATGCCTTTGTGGAGTGGCCGGTTGGCTGCTGATTTTGGATGACTATGTGGAATCATAAAGGAACTGGAGATATCACAATGGGCCATTGGGTCCAACCTCTATATCTTAACCTTCAGGACTGTGCCCCCAAACACTCTCTACAGCAGTCTGATACAGTAGTGCGATACCTGTTTGGGTCATCTGCCTTGTGATAAAGCACACGCAGCTTTATTTCTTTGACTGGGTTAATGGTCATGTTAATCGCTTCTACCCCCACCTTGTTGTGTGAGTTAGGTTTTAACCTTGTGATGTCTCTTTCAGGTTTTCTTTCCTCCATCATAATGGTCTAAGATGTATGAACAAGTACATTAAAGGAAGCCAAACATAAATAACCTTGGTAAAAATGTGTTGCTAGAGTACCATTTACCCCACCTTTCCAACTGTACTTCTCACTAGTAGCTTAATCTAGTGAGAACTCTAATCACTTCTGCCAACATTCTAGGTATTTGTTTTCTGAGTTTCTTATGCTTGGAGTGTTCTCTGTCCTTCATTCTATCTGCTTATATTCTTCAAGATGAGAGCCAAACCTAGTTCTTTAAGGCTCATCATGCCAAAAAAAAAAAAAAAAAAGATGTACAATCCCCCAAAGACATGCATACTACCATTTTGTAAATATTGTATCTCTTCAATTAAATTGTAAATATTCCCAGTATTGAGAACTTTTTCTTATAGCCATTTAAGTGTCCAGATATGATGCATCACAGTGTATAGGAAATATTGATGATGCTACTAAAAATAAACACATGCAAAACTACAGAAAGACTGTTGTCATTATTCCCACAAAATATCACTCATTCAACAAAATTTATCTAAAAAAGGGGGAGGCATTTAATTCTTTGGGGATGGAGAAGAAAATTATGATGATAATGTGGCAAAAAGACTACTACAAAGTAATGCATTGACCATGCCATTTTACTGTCTGAACAGACTATTTATCAGCCTGTCTGTATCTTGTAATCATTAAGCCACACAATATCTCAATCTAAATTTCCATAGTTACCAGCACCCATGACTAAGTAAGCAGCTGCAGGAAAGATGTTCCTTTTCAATTCCAAGCTGCTGTATCTAGGAAATCACAAACAAGCTATAACGCTTGGTTGTCATGGAGCAACCCAAATCCCCATATCTCATTAATAGATTTTCAGACAAATAAATCATATGGGAATACATAGATCCTAGGAACCGTTGGCTGAGATTTAACAAGTCGTCTGACTGAGAAAATAAATGTGATCTGAAATTTGGATAGTATTTAATGTAGAAAAGGAGAATTTGGCTTGCAATCCCAAACACCAACCTACAACCTCAGCGCTTGCTGTCAAACAATGAGCTCTATTTATGTTGTTCTTTTGCTTGCTAGAGATCAAGGTCTTATTTACTGAACTGTTTATGTGATTTTAGCCAAAATTATAAGATAAATTATTAGGGAAATTTGCTCATGTCAAGTCAATCTATTATTTTGCAAAGATTATCAATACATGGAAAGGAAAATTATATATTATATGTCATTTTTCAATCTATTAATTTTAGGCTGTTTTTTGTTTTGAAATATTGACATTTTTAAAAGAAAAAGCACTAAGAGAAGTGATGTGATTTCTAAATTGAATTGTGATTTTTAAATTGAACGTAATTTCAAAGAATTTCAAATTGGTACCTTTTTCTAGAAAAAGCAGACACAAAGAAATGTAGCCTTGGCTGACAAAGTAGAAAGAGAATCTGGCACCTTTAACAACAGAATTCCAACCTAACATTCCTCCTAGTGGCACAATGGGTTAAAAGCACTAGGAAGCTGGCCCTGGTGGCGCAGCTGGTTAAAGCACAGCACTGAGAATCTAAAGCCACTTCCGCATTAGTTCGATTCCCAGCCTGCCCCAGAGGTGAGCTCTGCCTGTTCTGTTCCCCACTCTGTCTCTGATGAAGCCTCTCGCCGCCCCTGAGCCTCTGGCCTGTACCCCAGTTCTATATGCACAAATAAATAAATCTTTAAAAAAAAAAAAAAAGCACTAGGAAGCTTTCTGCAGTCATGCAGCATAAGTTAGATCCCTGGCCAGGGAGTGACCCACATGGCACAGCAGACCTCTCCTGTCTTGCCCACTGCTCCCCTCAGCAGTGGATTTCAGTAGAGCATCCTGTTCTGTTCCCCACTCTGTCTCCTTTCACCCCCTGTACTTCTGGCCTATACCCCAGTCCTGTATACATAAATAAATAAATCTTAAAAATAAACAAACAATTCCAACCTACCTGCTCAAATGTAGCTGAGATTATTAAACAGCTTATGGAAAATATTAACTATTAATTGATGGAAAATTGGAGAAAGGCATGACTTCTGAGGGCAAGTTTAGCTTGTTTAGCTTTTATTTCTACTCCTGAGACAGGAAAGGTCATGGGAAAAGACAGAACAGAGCTCAAGGGTAAAACTGGTCAAAATGTTGCTGTTCCCACGGGCTGGTAAACAAAAAGCTGATGATTCTAAACCTGGACACCCCCTGCCATAAATTTCCTTGGCCCTTTGATTTTATTACTAGTTTTCCCCAGTTTGGCCATTCCTGAGCTATCTGCCCACAGCTTCTCAAGTTGGCTGCTACCCGGAAGGGGTATCACAAGCCCAGAAATTCATGTCGGAGCTGCAGGCACACACCACCATGAGGTGCTCACCTTGGAGACTGTCGAGAGACCGGCACCCTCAGAGCTGTGCTGATGGGGGCTCACAGTTCTCAACAGTAAATGGACTACACAGAGATGGACCAATGATGGAGCTGAGCCAAATCCATTCTCCTTGGTTTCTCTGCCAGTAAAGTTTAATTCCTTTGTTCTCAAGCCCAGTCCTAAAACCAGTGTACACTCCTATCCTGGCACCCCTGGGAGTCTCTCAGGCCTAGAGAGGCCTCCCCGGAGTGCTCCTTCCCTCCCTTTCACTAATCAATAAATACTCACGCCCTTCTTGCCTGCCCTTAGCCGTAGGGTCCTCTTTTCAAACTTGACCAGAAGCTCACAAGAGCCCTTTCTCAATTTGGGAGCAGGCCCTCTGTCCATCCCTCTGACTCCTGGCACGTGGAGCATCAGACAAAGGTTGGTACACTCCTCCCATCCCCTCCTTTGTCCTTGGGGAGGATGGGGCTGGGCTGAGGAACGGTGACCTGCTCCTTCCTCCAGTAAAGTCTCTGCTACTACTATTGTTTTATTACACGAAAATGGATTCCAAGTATGTTCTTTCTTTGTGCTTCTCCAAACAGAAAAAAAAATTCAAGGAGATTAATAATGTTTGGCTCACTGTTGGACTATGTGGTGTCAACTATGACATGTCATAGAGAGATCTTTGGTTGAGGGCTGGAGTTATCTAGTCCCTTCAGGAGGAAGAGATGGGGAGCTTGTTTGAGCCAGAGTGGACTTAGCACAGAGAAGTAAGTCTGGGTTGATGTTTATAAACAGAAAGTTATCAGTTTACCTAGAATAACAATATAAAGACATAAAAATTTGACTCAATCCGGGTATTCTTTCCTCTTCTGTAAAGAAAATGGACTTTAAAGTGGTAAAAGAGAACAGAAACTTGAGCGAGGCGAGTTAGAGTAAGCAGACACCTCTCTGTTTCAAATAAGTTCATGTTTCAGGCACAAATTACATCCCACAGCTGTTTACTGGTAACCTAAGACTTATATTGCATTCCTGGTAATTTCAGAGAAATGTAAAATATGAAGAGAATGACAGAGGGCCTGTTTTACAAAAGAGATAAAAGGTAGATACTCAAAACTTTAGGATAGAAAAATAAAACTACAAATGATAGAAATGCAGTTTTGAACATTTAGACAAGTTTGGAGGTCACCAGGAAGCAGAAAACCTAGTCTTAAGAGAACTCACACTATACTTCTTGTATTTATTTGATCTGTGAGTTAATGTGGGGCTTATGCATTTTCAGAAAGCATTTAATCCCAACTTTCATGATACCCTAAAATAAGTTTCATGTAATGGTAATTAAGTAAATGCAAAGTTAGTGGGCAAATTGTACTCCAATTTTTGTTTCTATTTTCCATAAATTATACATAGGTGAAGATATAAAAAGTCTTTCTAGTTAAGTCAGAGGATGAAACAAAATCTATGTAGCAAAGTAGTTATGACTGAAGACAGAGCTGGGAGACAAAATTCTATAAACAATTTGAACTCAATTAAAAATCTAGAGATGCAGTTTAACAGGAATATATGAAAATCCTTTTATTTGCTCAAATCAGAAAAAAAAATTACACAAGTACAAAGTAAGATAGATTCTGTTTTAATCATGCGAAAGTGTACAGATGTTTTATGTCTGCCAAGATCAATAGGAGTTAATAATATATATCAGGTAACTTGCATTGTGTGCTGATGGAAACACTGTGTTCCATTTGAGACACAAGCACCTGCCCCACCTTTCATTTGGGGGTTCCCTTGCCAATAACCTCCTTGGAATCCATTATTCCTGTGCCACAGGCAGAACAGTACCCCACCCAGATTTACCCAAAGTTCTCCAGATTTCAATACCAGAAATTGCAAGTTATTTTCCATGGAACAGGAGAATTAAGTGCTATTCAGGGAAATTGTCCTAATTGATGTAATTATGAAGGTCTCTAAATGTAGAAGAGGGAGGCTGAAGAGGTCGGAGTGAAGCCCTGTCATTCTGGGGAATGACAGTTCAGGGACCCTGGCTGTCTAGAGAGGGAGAAGAGTGGCAGGTTCTGGAAGCTGGAAAGGCAAGAAAACAGATCCCCTTTACAGATTGAGCCATGCAGCTTGCCAGCCCCAGCCGGACCTGCTGCGTACAGACCTGATAGATAATAAACTTATGTTGCTTGAAGTCACTAATTTGTGGTCATTTGTTGCAGCAGCAAGAGAAAAATAATGCAGCCTTTACAGCTTATTTTCTTTCCCGGCCATTTGGCCCTGTGATTATTTAGCATCCAAATTTTCTTTCTTTTATTTTCTCTCTAGGGAAGCATTTTGAGGCCATAGAAAGGACAATGAAGTGTTACCTAGGAATTATGGATTTAGAAAATTCATGACCAATGTGAGTTCACATCAAATAGTTAGGCTCCATGATCACTGATTTTCTAATCTGTAAAATAAGATTTTTTTTTTTTAAAACTGCCTTCTTTGACTCTCTGGGTTGCTGTAAGGAGTTGAGACAAGGGATGCTGAAATAATAAAAGCACCGAAGACGTGCCACCCACTCTTCTATCTGCTTTATTCATAATCTTTTATTTAATCTCGGCAATGATGATGTCGGTGACTTATTAGTTTTCCGCCACTGAGGTGGAGAAGAGCCAAGTTCCCTGAAAAATCGAAGGCACCAGAGATTCAAATAAACGGTCTCCACGATGGAGATCTAAACATAAACAAAGGTGTTTTCTCTTAGTTGTTTTCCTGAAAATATTATTTTCTTCATTGAAGCTTTTGTACATTTACAGCACAGTTCTCCTCATCAGTGATGCATCTGTTCATTGTTAAGATCTTCTCAGTGTCGAACCTAGCCAGGCTCTATCCTAAACATTAGCAACAGAAGAGCAAGTGAAACCCACAGAGCTCCAGCTATTAAGCAGCTTAAGCTGTAACGAGGGCTGAAGACTCAAAGGGAAAGTGGCTGTGGCGTGCGGTTGGTAGCATCCAGGGGATAGTGGTCAGTGGGAGGACAGCAGGAATTCATTGCACGTCCCGAGAAATCAAGGATGTAGGCTGGGGAAAGTCTTCGATCTGTTTTAAGATCTGGAGGCTACACTGGAATTGGGCAAAGGAGGGACTATTCTGGCGCAGTATCGTTACCTTCAGTAATTCAGCCTGCTTCTGCTGCTCATCAACTCTGCTTTTCTCAGCGCTCTCTGCACACTCATACAGATTCTGCTTTAAGGTTCATGCCAAAATTCAGTCGTGCATTAATGTCAGGAACACATTCTGAGATATGCTTTGCTAGGTGACTGGGTATTGTGTGAACATCAGGGAATGTATTTCCATAAACGTAGAAGATAAATCCTATGTCTGGACCCCTAGGTAGAGCCGGTAAGCTGTCCTCTCTTGACAAACGCCAGTAGACCACCTATGACTGTACGATTCCATGTCCAGTCCCTGATGTGAAGTGTTCGAATGTTTCCACTGTAAGAAGTCCTTTGTCTGTAATTCATTTTACCCCCAAGCAATGTCGTTTTATCTTCTCTATTTCCCCATCCGGTTAAGATGTGACCATTTCATTGCTACTTAGGCACCATATGAGAGCTAAGAAAAACAAATGTTTCCACAGAGGATTTCACTCCTGCGGTTACCATCTATTGCCACTAGATGGTACAAAAATGCTAATTCCGTTTACCTAGTGGAAGCTGGTGGTGCTGACCCCCAGAGGGTGGTACTAATGAGAGCAAACTGCTCAAACTAAATTATTAGTGATCATGGCTCATACATGCATACATAAAAATAAATAACTAAATAGAATACCCTTAAATTTGACAATTTATCATTTAATTTTCATTTTAATTAAATGATCTTTAAATACTTTACCCGTCTTGTTCCACCCCACTCCCACCTATCTTTCATTTTCATTTTTATTTTTATATTCTAACAATGGTGTTATTCTATCATCTTAACACAACACACTGGACTTCTTGCTGTTCCCCGATTATTCCCTCCACCTTCCCACTTCCTTGCATAAGTTAATGCTTTTCTCTCAAGTTGCAAGACCCCCTCCACCCCTTCAAATACTTCGTTATTCCCTTTTGAAATCTCACTCTTCAAGACACCAGCTCTTCCATGAAATTTTTCCTGTTATAATCACTAGAGGATGCCTTCTTTCTCTTCCCTTTTCATTCTTTTAATAAGCATAGTAATTTGTTTAATAATAAATGTAGCATGTATTATTCTGAAGCTATATTCATCTCTATAGCACTTAAAGACATTCTGCTTTTTGATTATTTATGAGTCTTTCTTAGTCTCTGTATGATATAATGTTAGCCTTTTGAGTGACTATCTTAGTCATCTTAATAATCCTGAAATATTTAGCACAGTGTTATTTATTGAGATAATTTGAATGGTAATATCCATAAGATTGTTGCCAAAAAACTCTAAGAAACAAAAACAAGATAATGATTCTGAGAAATGTTCTATTGAATAAGCTGGATGAAATTCATTAGTAAGACCTATGGAACCAAATCGTTCTGGCATGAGACTCCCAACTCCCATCTCTTCCAAATTTATAGAAATGAGGGTGGCTCGGTTGTAACTATTTGAAATTATAAAGTTGAGCTCAAAGTAGAGAAAACAAAAACCACATATACCAAAATAAAGAAGAAATTCAGAGTCACTGTAGTAAGGACCAGGAATAGAGATTTTTACTTCATTCAGGGACCAGAGATGTGGCTCTACCAATTTATAAGGAGCTCGAACTAAAATTCCTGCATAGATTTGATTATGAAAGGTATATGCTTTTTGAAGCTTAAGAGTAGCCAAGAAGCTTATCTCCTGCCTTGTAGTCTAATTGAATGGAGATAGCAAGCAATGCAAGTTCATGAAAATTTAAAGTCCTTCCGAATGAAAGTGCAATTTTCCATAATCATTAAAAAAATGGAATCTAAAACTTGAAAACAAACTTCTAGGCCATAAACCAGGTCTTTGATAAGGACCCTTGTACAACTCATAGCACCGGAGAACCGATAATCTTCACTGAAGATAAATGCTATAAAATTTGCACATCACTGGGAAACAATCCATCAAAAGGAGCCTGTCAAACTGAAAAGAATCTGTGTCCAAATAAATCAACCTGAAAGTGACAATAAAAGAATAAATTAAAGTATAAAGGAAAAAATAAAATGGAAGAATAGGTTAAGATTAAAAAATATTTAGAAAAGGATGGTAGTGTTCTTTATTGGTTCTTTCATTCTTTGCACAAATCTATATTGAATATCCATAAAACCCTAGCACTCATGTAAGTGCTGGAGAAAAAGTAATGAATAAGACATACAAATTCCCTGCTATCAGAGAGCTTCTATTCTACTGAAAATAAAAAACAGATGGGTTAAACAGATGGACTAGAAACATGCAAGAAGAAATACCAAACAAAAAAA